CCGGCCCCCCCGACCCCAGCAGGGAAACCAGCCGGTCGATGCGCTGCAGGCGGCCCTGGGATGAGAGGGGAAGGGGGCTGAGGACACAGGCACCAGCAGCCCCAGATCACTGAGCCCCTCTGCTCCTGTTCAAATCTGCACACGTCTATCCTGCCCCATCCCCTCAAAGCCACCTCACAAAGGTCAGTGGCCTGACTGAGCTCATACCAGCTCCCTCCCTCCCAGCAGGAGCCAAACCCTCCTGAGCACTCGGTGAAGGTCCATGTGACAAACACAGGCAAAACCGTGGCCACTGCTTCTACCAGCACGAGGCCCTTCATGCTGAGCCAGCCCCGCTCTCCCCCTTGGCCACCCAGAGAACTCAGCAGCCAGAGCAGGGCAGCAGCCCCACAGCTCGGTACCTTCCTCGCCCAGCTTCGCATCACGACGTTGTACATGTTGACATTCAAAAGCCTTCTCTTCGCAGGAGAGCTGTGGTAGAAGAGAAGGAACTTCTCAGCCTGCTCTGGCTGCTGCAGGAAGAGGAAGCACTCCAGGTTGGACTGCATGGTCTGCTGCAGGACCTTGTACTGGCTGCTCTCCTTGTCCTCCGCCACCCGCCGAGGCCTCTGCACCTTTACACTCTCCTTCACTGCCACCACCCTGGGCTCCCTGCGGGCGTAGACGCTGTGGGAACCAGCATGGCTCGGGCTCCAGGCAGAAGCCACTTCAGCCTTTGGGTTCTCCAGGCTCTTCTTGGCTTTAGCCTTTGGGTTCTCCAAGCTCTTCTTGGCTTTAGCCTTTGGGCTCTCCAAGCTCTTCTTGACTTTAGTCTTTGGGCTCTCCAGGCTCTTCTTGGCCTTTGCCTTGGCCTTAACCTTCACCTTTGATTTGGCCCTGGCCTTTGGTTTGGCCTTCACCTTGGGCTTGGCCTTCACCTGGCCCTCCAGAGCCAGCTGGGAGGCAGCGATGGATAACTTCCGCTCCACCTTCAGCTGCCGGATGTGCATCTCCTTCTTCGACTTCTCGACCCAGCTGCTGGGCCAGGCTGGGCTCTCCCCCCTCTCCCCGGGGGCGGGATGCTCCTCTGCGGGGCCGGGGGCCACCACTTTCCGCAGCGTGTCCTGGTACTTGTCATGTCCCAGCGAGGCCAACTCCGCTTTACTGACCGTCACCTCCGGGATGCTGCTGGCTTGGAGCTGCTTCGCTCGAGCTTTCAGCACTGCCAGGAAACACAGAGCCAGGGAGGGGTGAAGGGATGAAGGACATGGCAGAAGGTTGTATCCTACCCCAGGGCCTCGCTCAGGAGAAGAGGGTCCACACAAGGACTGTTTCCCTCCTTGGCCAGCCCTCCTCCCTGACCACTGTCTGTCTGGGATCCACCCACATCCTGCGTTATCCCAGGAAACCCAACAGTGTCACTGCAAGGGAAGAGCCTGTCTCACGCTTGTCTAACCTGCTGCCTGGTCACTTCACCTCTCTCCAAGGACCTCCTGCCCCCAGCTCACCTGGGCAGAGAGCCCAAGGCCAGAGCACATCCCAGCTCAGCCTGCAGGGCCCTGGCACGCCCCAGAGGGACACTTCTACTGTCCCTGAGAACCACCCTGTGTTCTACAGCAGCTCAGTGCTCCCTGTGGGTCGGGTCCTTAGGACAGGACAGAACTTGCTCAGGGAGGTGATTCAGTCCATGGGAAACCCCACATCCTTCCCCAGGCGACAAGTATTTCCAGTCCCAAATATCTTCTTTACATTTACACAGAACGGGCAGATTCCTAGAAACCCTCCCAGGACACTGACCAGGAGAGACCCCTGCAGCTCTCCCAGCCTCCCTGACTCACCCTCCAGCAGCTCCGTCCTCTCGCAGACAGCGGCTCTCGTCGCCTTCTCCTTGGCACTGGCAGAGGAGTAGCTCCTGAGCACACTCCATGGGATCCCTGCAGTGGAGACACAAAGACCAGGAGGTCAGAGGAGGCTTCACCCCGACACTGCTCAGTGCCCCACAGCCCCATGCCATGGCTGGGCAGCGGGGAGGGTGCAGGGGGGACAGCAGGGGGGACAGCAGGGGCGTTTCT